ATAAGGAAGATTGAAGAATATAGATTGTTTCTTCCAAATGTTTTTCTCAGTGGATTTCTTTTGGGTCTTTCCAAACACAATATTAATATTTTTCACTTGTTCATATAATTGTTCACTATTGTGTGGTACTGATGCAACTGCATTCTCCTGACATCCATTAAATGCTTTTTTCATTTTACGATATGGATGATTAGCAACTAGAAACTTTCTATGCCTATTGTACGCAGTTTTTTGTCCATGTTTCAATTGGATATAACTTGTGTCTTCTTGACATATAGGACACGCTAAATGACCTTTCACACTATAACCGCTCAAATTACCATATGCTGGAAAATCATTTATAGTACAAAATAACATTGCACGCAACCTGAAATTCACTTCGTGATATGAATCAAATACATCCACTCCTGTTTCCCACAACATTTTCAAATCATCAATTAAAGGACTAAGATATACATCTATGTCATTTCCTGGTTGTCGAGGTCCTGAAATCATCATAGATAACATCATATATTTTCTCTTCATGCATAACCAAGGAGGCAAATTGTAAATGATCAACATAACTGGCCATGAACTATGTTTACTACTTAAATTTCCATAAGGATTCATCCCATCTGTAGCTAATCCAATTCTCAAGTTTCTTGGCTCTGCACCAAATTCTGGAAAGGTTTCATCAATCCTTTTCCATTGTGGAGAATCAGCTGGATGTCGAAGAACATTGTCACATTTTCTACCATTTGCATGCCATGTCAAGTTTCTTGCATCTTCTTTTATGGCAAATAATCTTTTAAACCTAGGTATAATTGGCAAATACCATAACACCTTAGCAGGGGGACCATCTACTTCTTCCTCACCACTACTTTCCTCAACTTTGTTTTTGAACCTCGACAAACCACATGTCGGACACATCTTTAATTTAGCAAAATCCTTTCGTACAATATACAATCATTAGGACATGCATGTATTTTCTTGTACTTCTAAACCCATTGGACATAATATCTTCTTTGCCTCATAGTTACGAATAGGTAATGTATTATCTTCAGGAAGCATCTCCTTCAACAACTCCAATAATTCGGTGAAACTTTTATCAGTCCATCCATTTCTTGCTTTTAAAGTAAACAATTTTAAAGTTGCTGATAATCTTGTAAAACTACATCCTATGTACAATTGTTGCGCAAAAATCAGATTTCAAAGAATCATATAGATGTGCTTTCATAAAATTTTCTTCACCAATATCACGTATCATATCCTCTAGATTATCATCCATCCCTTCATCAAAATTGTCCGTAGTTGACACAGTTGGGATGTCTAATATTTCTCCATGCCATGTCCATATTGTATAACTCTTAATAATACCATAAACAAACAAGTGATCACGTATATCCTCAAGTTTATGACGAATTTGATTCAAACAACGAACACATGGACAATAATATGTCCCTTTCATAGCTTTTCCATTCTCACTAGCAAATTTCAAAAATTCCTCAACTCCCTTTTCGTATTCTTCACTAATACGACGTGCATTCATCCAACTTCGATTCATATTATGTTATAAAGTTTCGTCACTCCTAAAGATTTAAAAATTATATGTAAAAAAATTAATATACAAACAACAAATCACGTTCCAACAACAATGGAGTGTGTAAACCGAATGCACTCAAACAAATAAACAAATAATTACATTCCAATAACAATGCAGTGGAGACATTCATACTATAACGTGATTGAGATCCCCAAAAACAATCACGGGACATAGAACACTAACCTCGAGTGTAGACGAAAACTGATTTCAAACTCGATTCCAATCGGGCAGAAAGATCAAGTTCGACAAATGACACGATAATGTAGATGTTTTTCACTGTAAAACTGCTCAAAAATGGTTTGCAGAGGTAGCTGTTTTCGTCGTTCTCGTCGTCGTTCTCAGAAACCCTGGTTGCGCGAGACGAGGAAGTGGGTCTGGAGGGAAATAAAATAGACTTTTTACGTCGCGCATCCCAGCACGCGACGTAAAAATCCATCTTTTATGTCGCACATGGAGGGCGCGACGTAAAAGAGGATTTTTACGTCACATTCTGGTATGTGCGACGTAAAATTTTTGTCCCATATTTACAAAATTGCCACCGCGTTTTATTTACGTCGAATATACATGCATGCGACGACAATTGGGTGACGTAAAAGCCCTATTCTGCACTAGTGACTACAGGATTGGTATCAACTGCGATTTTTCCTTAAGAATTTATTCATACAGATTAAAAGAATGTATAACTTTTGAATATGCAAAGAAAAAAATATATATAAGTTCTCAAATATATATATGATAAACAAGTTTAGTTAAATATCTTTAAATAATTTAAATTTTATTAGCTTTATAAGATTTAAATGTTCCTAGTTCTATAAAATGGATGTGTTTTGATTTTGGTCATGTAATTGTTTTTCTTATTTTTAGTCCATATAAAAAAAAATTATTTTCAATCTTTTTCAAATAATTTCTAGACTAATAAATGGTTGAAATTCAAATATAAGAAAGTTCAAGTCTACATAGAAATAGTGAAAAGGACAATCTCCCAACGTTAATCTCCAAAAAATATAACATTTAGAAAAAAATTAGGATAAGTAATATATATATATATATATATATATATATATATATATATATATAGTATTAATTATAAATCCTAAAATAAATATTAAGAATCACATTTAATGATTTCAAAACTTTCAATAGTAATAAAACGAAAACTTCTAATTTTATGACAACTAAAAGCAACTATTTCAAACTACAAAGAAATGAAAATGAAAAAAAAAATTATCAGAACCAAATAAAAAATTCAGGATTATATTTAAGGCATTTTGTAAATTGTTTTTTCTTTGTGATTTTTTCTTATTTGCAAAAAAATATTTTGGCTTCTGCTTTTTATTTCTTGTGTCAATTTCAGTAATGGATCTCTTCATCTCTTCTCGAAACGTATATTTGAGTTTGCTTAAAGCTGGGCACGTGTACGTGTTAACGTCTGTATATGTTTGTTTAATCAATGCTCTCTCCTTCAAATATAACTTATATTTTGGTTCGAACTTTATTCTTCATTGTACTTCAATCGCACAATAAATTTCGGTTACAAATAATTGTGCAAGCTTCGAATTAGTTTAATAAGATATTTGATTGAATGTATGCACTTGGTGCATGAGAAAGAAAAAACAATGATTAAAAAAACATCAGTTTCAATTTGACAGGTTATCAAAATTCAAAAACTCAGACGGTAAATTTAAGAGTTTTTTACTACCTCATGCTCGTGATTCATCTAAATTTCCATGTGATATACGTTTGAACAAAATTATTTAAAATAAAAATGATTCTAAATTATTTAGTAGTTTTTCATCATAGACGTCATATATTTAATAGTTCATAAAATATCTATAATGTACATTCTAATAATAAGTAACATTAGTCTTTTATAATCATGTTTTAATATATACGTAAATTAAGATTCACATATACATTTATACTACTTACAGATTTATTTTTATTTGATCCTAGAGTTAACTTATTTATCTCAACATATAACCCAAACCACCCACCTCTACATTAAGTATAAGCAACGTTGCCTTGCTGAAGAGAAATCTACTAAAAAATTGTCTTAAATCTTAATTGTGTAATAAATAAGCAGGTATATATCATAACATTCATTCAATCACCAGAGGATAAAATAAAAAATAATGCCAAGTGGATGACAACTCTACTAATCAAATACATAAATCAAAACTGAGATTCCATATTCATCATCTTGCATTTTCATGTTCCTGAAACAGATGAAAACAAAAGGAAAGACTTCAACACCACAAAAAATTTATAAATATAATCAACATAAGTAACATAACTGAATACGCATATAGCAACGCTTATCAATCCCACCAGCAGGAAGCAGAGTGCCATTTATACTAGATATGAATTAACCCCTGAAAATTCATCATGGATTTTTGAATCAAATAATATAACATTTCTACAGTTGCCGTTTTATTAAAAATTAATGTATAGAGTAGAATTATCATTAATCAATTGCGACAAAAGGCAGTACACAGGAATTAAGAGGCGTATAGACTACTGCTAATTTCATTAGTGTTAGGCCACAGTAGCCAAACATAATATCATCAAAAGGCAATGCATCTTTCTAGATTAAAATCTGTTTCAACTTTCTTTTTGAATTAAAGTTCTGTTTTATGGCTCACTTGAACAAACCAAAGTTCCACTTTGACCACACACAAACACAACATCTGGTTCCAACGATTGAGTTCTTTGTTTTTCATGACCACAGACAGGGAAACTCATTCACAGATTTAGTAGCCCTATTTCTTGCCAGACTGCAGGTAAAAATCGGGGACTTCAAAATAGTCCATCCCTGTCCCTTAACCCATCCCTTCACATACAATTAGCTGCTTGATTGCCTGTTTCCAGATTATTCTGTTGCCCGCCTATTTTATAAGCATGCCCACTCCATTTTGTAGCTTCATCTGGCGCATAAGACACAGGTCATCATCTGTTTCACAGCTTCAGTTGGCACCTGAGTAGTGGGTCGTCCCCACACATGACCCAGCCTGTGATATTTTTTCTTATTGTTTAGTTAAACCTCGTATTAATGATGATTGAATCTATAAGATACGACTTCTAGGTAAGTGATGACGAATATCTGAAGCTTTTTACTATTTTTCAGCATTTATTATGTGTGTATTAGGAATTTATGTGATTTCTTTCTTTACGCAGCAGCTGTTCCAAAATCCACTAAGCTGTTAGCGTTATTGAAGTTATATACATCAATAACAAAGATTTAACAATTTCAGTACTGGCTATAATAATCCAGTAACGTGCTGGCACTTTTCTTGGAAATACAAGGTATTTAAAAGGCTGCAAAATATCACACACAAAAATTATGTCACATTAAGGCAGAACATACCTGTGTATGATGATTTAACTAATATGTGATTTAAACACACTTTTGGTTGAAGGCTCAGTCTTGAGGTTTCATGGCAGGGAAGAGAAGAACCTCCTGTCACCAAGAAGACAGAACATAGTAAGAAATTGTAAAAACGAAGTAAGCATGCAGACAGATAGAGAAAGAGTAGAAACCTTAATATTCTGTGAATCTGTCAGTAACATGGTCAACCGATCAATCCCCAAACCCCAACCACCAGTAGGTGGTAAACCATACTCCAGAGCCGTACAAAATGTTTCATCCAAGGCCATTGCTTCATCATCACCAGATTGCCGATCCTGACATGTAAAGCAAATACCAGTTACTACAAATATTTTATTAAAAAAAAGCTCAAAAAATTAAACCATAGCACATATTACTGTTGTAAAAAATATCATTTACCTTGAGTTGTTCAGCAAATCTCTGTCGTTGTACTACAGGGTCATTCAATTCAGTATACGCATTGCAAAGCTGTATAGTAGCAGTGGTCAGAAGCATGATTCCAAAATATTTTAAATAAATAATAATCACTTAAATGTCATGATCTTACTTCATGCTTATTAATAAACAATTCAAAACGTTCTGTCAGGCCTGGTTTCGATCTGTGCCACTTGGCTAAAGGACTCATTATCTCAGGATGGTTTATGATGAATGTAGGATTGACACAAGTTTCTTCCAAAAAGTGACCCACAAGCTGCAATATGAAAATAATATAATTACATTTCCTGCAGATGCTTCATAAGAAGCTCCAAATAAGGAATAAAAACTAGTGAATAAAGTGAAATAACTAGAACTGTGAATATAAAATTCATTATGTCTATAGTTATTATGTATGTAGAGGTTAAATATAAAACCAAAAAAAATATTAGTAGAACATAATTGTACCCAAGCTTCCACCAAACCTGCAGCCGCATTATAGAAATTTATGTTACAATTCACTAAATAGATATGTTAGAACTCTCACTGGAAATTACACTTCTATTACTAGAGCGTCTAGCTGTTGGCTTACAAAGACCAGAATGCCTATAGTCTAGCTCTATCCCCTACCTACCATATTTCATTTTCCCAACTACAACACTCAACTAATGCTTGTACGTCCAACATCTGAACTCTTCTCCTGGTCTCTTATCAGACCAACAACACAGTATGACAAAGTATCACTGATAAACAGAGCCATTAAATATTTTATCTATTTTGAGAGAAGGCAAAGGAAAGAAAATAATCTTTTAGATAAAAGCAAAATTAAAAACAAGGTAGATAAAAGTTAAAAAAAGGGAAAAAGGAAGAACATTACTTTATCCAACAAACGAGCAGTTGTCTCAGGGGGAGGACATTTAATCTCATACTTCAAGCAGGCATCCTTCAAATACTGATTAGCTTCCTCACCTGACAAGTCTTTGGGAATACTTAGTCCTGCTATCTGCTCTAATCCTTCAATCATATCAATCCTTCTGTAACCATTACAAATGCAAATCAATAATATAGAATAAGCAATATTATGAAAATAGAATAAAGTGACCAGATAATGTACACCACGCACCTAAATGGTGGAGTAAAGTCAATTTCAATAGGTTCCTTATCCACACCGTTTGCATGATACTTGATTTTATAGCTTCCTTTGGTAAGTTCCTTAACCATACCTGTTTTAATAGTTTTCACATCATGATGTTAACCAAGTGACTTAAAATCAAGTTCCTTAAGATATACTAAGGAGAATAAAAAAATACATAACAAAAACACCATTAAATCTTACCACTCAACATTTGCTCTGTTATATCCATTAAGTCATTATAGTCCTTGTAAGCCATATAGAACTCACAGGTGGTAAACTCAGGATTATGAGTCAAATCTATGCCCTCATTCCTAAATTGTTTACCAATTTCATAAACACGATCCAGTCCACCAACAACCAATTCCTTAAGATAAAGTTCTGGAGCAATCCTCATGAATAACCTCATGTTAAGATCATTGTGATGTGTTACAAATGGGCGGGCTGCAGCTCCACCAGCAATCATATTCATCATAGGTGTTTCAACCTGCAAGTGATTAAAAAAGTAGGTGAATGGAAAGTAAAGAAACCCAGGATCCAGTATCAGAATACTCAGACAGAAAACAAACCTCCAAGAAATCAAGGTCATCAAGGAACCTCCTAATGTAAGAAATTATTTTAGACCTGGTCTTAAATATATCTCGAACCTCCGGATTAAGCATCAAATCCAAATGGCGTAGCCGATATCTAGTTTCCTAAAAAGCCACAATTAAATGAATTAAAAGCATTTTTGTCAGTTCATGGATATTGACATAAAGATAAAGCAAACAGGAGAGATAGTGCAAAAGAAAAAATTTCTCCTCAGTTCAGCTTCTGAAAACAAGAGTAATCAAGACATGTTTATCACACGAAGCAGAAAATGTAGATGATCAAAACATTAAAAGCAAACATGAATTGTAATCATTGAATAGATGAGAATGGTTCAGATTATTACACATTATTAATTTTAATTAAAATTTGAAAAACTGAAGAAAAAAACTACACTCCCTCTCAAATACAAGGAATCATAGAGCCCTTCTAAGAATTGTTTCTTTGATGCAATGTGGGATTAAGGATGGCAAAACGGGTCAGGCCCAGCAGGCCCGACCCGTCAAGCCTGTCAACCCGTCGGGCCAGCCTACAACCGCCTAATTAATAAAAAAAAATATTGTAATATAATTAATTACAAAGACAATATATAAAGTTAAAAATTGTAAAAAGAGAATTAAAAAAATTTCACTCTTACTCATTATAAAAAACATTCTCCTTACTCAAACACAAGTTCCTCTCTCCTCTTCTCCTTGTTGTTCATCATCTCTTTGTTGTTCATCCTGATTGTGTTTTACCCTTATGACTTGAATTAAAGGTATAAGAATTATTTAAGAGGAGAACTATGTGAAGTTTTATCAAATAAAAAAGATATAGGTATTTGAATTTTTAAATATAAAAAATATAAATTTTACAAATTTTGTCGTTATTTATATATATTCGTTATTATTTATTATTATATAAATTTTATTATTGTTCTAAATTATAATTTCTTAAAACAATGTGTTAATTTATATTAACTTGAAATATATATATATATATATACATATATATTGAATTATTGACAAACAAATGATAATCTTATTATTAAATTTATTAAAAATTTTGATTTAAAAAAAAATTAATTATGGCAGGCCAACGCCCCAACCCACCCTTTGATGGACGGACCAAGGTCTAGAGTCCGTCATGACTATAGTGGGTTAACCCGCCCCGCCCTGTTTTTAACGGGGTAGACTAACCCGTTTTGCCATCCTTATGTGGGATGGTGTGAAGTTCATGAACAAATAATCCCTTTGCTTTTTCCTGTTTCCGGCAGAGCTAGCCACATTCACAAGGTTATTTAAACCAAAAGTGATAAATCTCCTATAAAGATCCAGTCACCAATTCAGTAATAATATCAAATGAAGAATTTGGGTCAACCTTCAATGAAACTGGGGACATAAGATCATTAATTTTTTTAATAAAAAATATTAATGTGTAAGAATCTGAACCATTCATAAATTTAATGGCTAAGATTGCCTCAATTTACTTAGTAAAGTGAGGGTCCTCACTGTAGAGGAGCTAGATCCTACAATCATATAGTCCTTTCCTATTGATTAGAGATTCAATCAAATATATGATTCACTTTACCCTCACTGATGCAAAACTTAGGAAATATTGTTGAAATTAATATTCAAACAATATGAAAAATAAAAGGTTTAGATAACATTAAAACTCTCCCTTAATTCAACAGAAAAGAACAAGCAAAAAGTTACCGTACATATCAAGAAAACCAATATATATCATGCCACTGTGGGTCATTGCAAGTTGCAACCAAGTTAATTGATGAAGATAATTAAAAAAGAAGAAATGGAACAAAAAATTAAAAAGCTCATCTATCAAAAGAATCAAAGAGATACGGAATATAAACCAAACAGCAATAACTATATTTCAAAAAAGAAGACAAACGAAAAGCATGAATAACAACAACGAGCATCCATCTAGTGCATTTCATTTTATATCCTTAACAGACCTGTGAAGTTCATGAACAACTAATCCGTTTTGCCTGTTTATGGCAGTGTTAAGTAGCCTTCAGCCAAATTCACAAAGTTATTTAAACCAAAAAAGATAAATCTCCCATAAAGATCTAGTCACCAATTCAGTAATAAATATTGAAAGCCGAATTTGAGTCAACTTTCATGAAACTCGGTATATAAAGATCAATAATTTATTTTCAATACAAAATAATAATAATAATAATAATAATGTGTAAGAATCTGAATCATTCATATATTAAATGCCTAAGATTGCCTCAATTTAAAGTGGGAGTCCTCACTGTAGAGGAGCTGGATACTACAATCATATAGGCCTTGATTTCAAGTTGAAATTAATATTCAAACGATATGAAAAATAAAATCTTTAGATAACATTAAAACTCTCCCTTAATTCAAGGAGAAATGAAAAAAAAAAACTACCATACATATCAAGAAAACCAATCTATTTCATGATACTGAGGGTCACTGAAAGTTGCAATCAACCATGAAGCAAATAAAAAAAAGGAGAAATGGAACAAAAAAATTAAAAAGCTTATTTATCAAAAAATAAAAGAAATGCATAACATAATACCAAACAGCAATAACTATACATTTCAAGAAGAAGACACAAACGAAAAGCATGAATGTTAATGACAAACATCCATCCGTTGCTTTTCATTTTATATCCTTAACCGTAACCTGTGAGGTATATTCCATTTCAGAATTTTTCTCAATTACAAAAGTGCATCCTCACCATTATCACTGTCCCAACATTGGTTCCAACATGAGAGAATATACAAATGGATTTAAAAGACTAAAAACAATGATAGCATTTATAACAGTACGTATTTCATGTACATAATACCTGATCCTTCAAAATATATGTTTCAGGATTCCTGGGATTTCCCGGTATCCATGAACTTTTCTGCAAATTATTGAAGTAACAGTGTTATTGCGTATGATCATCAAACAGCAAAAAAAAAAAATAATATACATACACACACTCATACTGACCTTCAAATTTGCATTATCAGCAGCAGCAGCAGCAGACTTTTGCCTAGGCATCATATGCAAACAATGGGAAAGCACCACAAAACTCTTGGGGAAAATACTAAGCTCACCCTTCTTACTTTTGCCTGGATAATTAAACATGTGAAAACGAAAATTTGTCATTTACAGAGTGAACAAACTTGTAATTCAGAATATAATACTGTAGAAGACATTCTAACTATGGAGAATAAGAATGGAAAAATGAATGTCTGATTAGCAGGATTTAGCCTCTGTTATGAAATCAAAGCACCGGGGTAGAACAAATTTGGTTCTAAATTTTTGCAACTAATAACATTTACATTTAACAGACTAACTCTTGTTAAAATGATACCCAGTTGCTCACAATGTGCACAACTTTCCTAGTCTTGAGACAGAAATCAGCTAATAATATTAAAATAATCAAAACAGAATCTACAACTATACTTTTTACTATTTACCCGGACTTGATTCCTTTAAAGTCCCTATTCTCATAACATAAATGGATGTGTTTGTTGTCAAAGTTATATTTGGAGGCAGACCTTATATGCATTTCTAATAAGTCATAATTGGATGTATTTGTTGTCAAGGTTGTAATTCGGGACAGACCTTATATGCATGAAAGACAGTAAAAAATATATGAAACTTTATAGCATTACAAACCTGGAAACCCGGTAACACCAACTATGTCACCACGCTTCACATTAGAATGGAATTTGGAAAATTCAACCTCATCCAAGTCTGATTTACTGCATCGCGGAGATATCAGTTAATTCATCCGTCCTACTAAGATCAAACAGGATAAAAGAAAACAAAATAATATATAGATTCAACAATGAGAAAAAGACACCATTATGAAAAAAATTAAAAAATACTAAAAGCTATCTTTATAAATTGAAAATACAAATAATTACATAAAAATCAACTAACAAAATAACAAGGAATGCCACAGAACTTTACATTATAACAAGGAGTACCAGAGAATATGGCATTATATAGAAACCTCTTAAAGTTACATTTTCGATATTTGAATTATTGCCACTAAATATTTATCCTTTCATAACACTGCGCCATTGCACTTAACTGTGATATCAATAACATTAAGCAAAATCTATAGTATTTGTCTAATAAAACTATAATATAAGACCCAAAATCAATAGTATTTCCATGAGATATTTTAGATTATATGGCATGCATTTTATTTTAGATAATTACTCTCTTTTAATCATTTAACAAAAATGTTCACCCATGGCATAAACCTGGTTCAACAGCACTAGATGTGTCTATTAACTGATGTACATTAATTTGATACATCATATTGCATCACTAAAACTGCTACATGCACATAGTAGGGTACAGCAATTTTGGGTACCTCGCGTCAGCCATAACCTGGACCTTTAAGCCGCCACCATGCAGGTCGTAAAAGACAAGCTTAGAACCAGAGGTGCGTTTGTGCATGATTCGGCCTGAAATGCAGACGATAATTAAAATCAACATACAGCATAGGGGCAACAAACAGAAAACCGCAAATCATCAAAACACAGAAATTGCTGAGTACCAGCCAAAGACACAGAGACATCCTCGGCGTGCTGCCCATCGCTTAAACCTCCATATTCCTTGATGTATTCATCAAGAGACATAGTGACAAAGAATTTGTGAGGGTACGGGTTCTTCCCATCTGTCTTTTGAACTGCAAGATACTTCAGCCTATTCTCAAGGTATTGCTGCAATTAAATCACCCCACAATTATAAAAATGAATAAATAGATCATGTAAACCATTAAATATCCCACAGCAGTGTCAAAAGTGGAGTTATACAGTTGGGTCCATATCCTCGTCATCAGCTGGAGCAGATTTGTTATCCTTTGCCTTCTGCATTTCAGCTGCCTACAAAAGTTTATATCATAAAAAAAAAAAAAAACTCCCCCTTAAAACAGAAATTCAAATCATTATGCAACAAGAACAAAAAAAAAAAAAAAGTGGAATACACCAAAATCTTACTGAAACATACAAAAAGTAATATTCGTAACAAAAAAAGCTCTCACTTGATCATGGCATTGGGGAAAATGGAAATGAGATGTACCTTTTTGGCCTTCTCTTCCTCCTTGCGTTTCCTTTCTTCTTCTCTCTGTTTATTCTTCAGTTCCCGTTTCAGCGCACTGCGGAAATAAAAATTCCATCCCGTTGAGGCACGGTTATTGTAAAATTAATTTTTCATTGAAAAGAAATTAGTTTGAAGCACTGACTTCTTGCTTATGGTTTCGCCGGTACCAGCAGACGGTGCCTCCGAAGGGACTTCCATTAGTGAAGAAAAAATGAGACAGAGGGTTTGGAGGAGAGAGCGACAAGAACTAGGGTTTTTGAGAGACGATGCTTAGCTGCGTTCTACGCCTGCGACGACGTTTCGGTTCTAACTTTAACTCCCATGAACTCTTGACTTGTGCGTGAAATACTATTATTTATTATTAGAGAAATGTTAATTTGACACCTCACCTATTAAACATTAATTAAATGGTTTTAATAATATAATATTGATAAAATCTTTTAAATTTATATATTATTATTATTATTATTATTATTATACTGAATTGTATATTACATTTACGAAATGAATAGTTGTATCAAAATTTATCACCTTATTTATTAGGAAGTGGCATTAATTAAGTAGTCATTTTGTCCATCGCTCGCAGAGAGCAAAGTCAGCTGACTAGTTTGTTATAGTTAGGAAGTAACACCATGGTCAGGATATTATATTTTTTATTTTATTTTATTATTTTTAAATCAAAATTTTTAATGAATTTAATAATAAAATTATTAGGTCAATAATTTAATAAATATATATATATATTTTTTTTAAGTTAATAATATAAATTGATATATTATTTTAATAAATTATATTTTAAAATAATTAAATTAAGATACAATTTATATAATAATAAATATATATATAATAATAATAATTTATTAAATCTTTATTTTTTTATATTGAAAAATTTTAAATACTTAAATAAAAATTATATTATATTTATTTATTTGATAAAATTTTATATTATTCTTTCATATCTTTAATCCAAAATAATTAATGTCTACGATAATTAGACGTAGTATTCGAAAATTTATTTAGTTTTTTATTTTTTTATCTTTAATAATATACAAAATTTTAAAAAAATTAATAAAAAAAATTATCAAAAATAAAAATAAATAACATTTAAATTAGTAAAGCAGTGACTTAACGAAATAGACCAAAATATACTTAAATTATTAATTCGTTTTTGCCCTATTACCCTTAGTTTTAACCAGTTTAACTAGGTTAATTATACCTTCCTCTTACCGATTAAGAACATAATTTATAAATTTTAAACTGTTTTTTATTTTACTTATATTGAGCTTTATTTTATCCTTTCTTTTTCTTAAAAATAAATTAACTTTTTATATTTTAAAAACGAAATCATTTGATTTTTCTCTATATATTAAAATTAACTCAGTTAATAATATAATTTTATTAACAATTCTAAACTTGTTCTGTTCCTCCTCTAACACCATCCAATTGTGCCGCCTTCACCACACTCCTCCTTCTATGCTTGAACTCAAATTATTTGCATTAAGTTTTGTCTGTGAAATCTCAGTCAGTAAGTAAATAATGATATTAATATTAAAATAATAACAATAATAACAAAAATAGTAAATGTTGATACGTTCTTTTAAATAGTATATTCACAGTTTTTCTACTAATGTCTCCTTAGGAGAAAAACAAATTGAATGTTGAGAATAAGAAGTTTATATTGTTTGTTTTGTAATAGCATTTGTATTTATATCTTTAATGTCTTATTTAATTGATAGAGGCGGTAAGAAATGGGTTGAGTTGGAAACAAAGGAAAAGTTTTAAATATGATATGACTAGGGATATAGTAAAATGTGTGATTACTCTCTATTCTGGTGAGTCCGGTCATTAGTTAATCAATTTCTATAAACTACAAACTTTAATTCATTTTATTAAAAAACGGATTGATAGTTAATTTTATATATATATATATATATATATATATTTATTTTTTTAATTATATAAATAATTTTTAATTTTTTATTTATTAATTAAATTATTTACTAGATAAATTGACAAGTTATTATATTTATATATTAAAATAATTAATTATAATTAATAATTTACATTCAATTGATTAATTTTTATAATTTAAATTATAATATATTTATATATTTTAATAATATAATATAATATATTATTTTAAATTCTAATTTTTTTATTTTAATATAATATATATATATATATATATATATATATATATTTAAATAAAATATTAATCTGCCTTGTCCCACCTCACCAAATTGACGGATCAGGTCGAGAAATCAAAATGAATTGCATCAGTCTTTCATACCTAACCCCATTTTATCATCTTATCATGCTCAACATTCCGGGGAGGCAACAAATTACATGACATCAGGAGAATTCTGGGGCTTCAACACTTTCATTCTTATAGTGTACCAGAATACTCTGCGAAAACTGTTTGATTTTTTTTTCTAAAAAAGGTTAATTTTGAAGAAGAAAAAAAAAAGGACTAGTTTTTCTGGGGCACTTTTTATCCATAGGATACAATGAACAAGTCATTTAATCATGATATAATTATTGCGAAATTATTACATTTGGTTAAAAGATTAAGCAAAATAATGTAAAAAATTTGGATTATGAATGTGGTTAAAGAAAGAAGTAAAGGATTGTGAAATTCAGAGTCCAACAAGTTGGTCAGTTCATGCATTCAAATTTAAAACGTATGAATTGGGCGGTATATCATTTGTGGTAATCAAATAAGCATTGACCAATGCTTTAGTCACAGTCACAACATAATTCCATTGCTCCAAGGTAGTAGAAAGAAATTTCTGCTAGCTGTATATAACTGCAGTATTAATAACACCACAGTCAATGAAACTCCTATGATTAACCAGATCAAACGGCACAACACAATTTCCACGACATTTCAAACACCAAAATTACACAAAACAAACAGAACTTCATTTTGCTAAATGAGAGCAAAGGGCATATGTGTCATTTTCTCAAAACCGCGTCAACCGCACCTAGTAATCACTGGTAACAGCCAGAAGTAAGTATAAATAAACGTAATCAGCACAACCAACGAATACACTCCCTCAATCAAAGAGACCTTCTTCTCCGACACACTACAACGACAACATGGAAATCGACGAAGGCAAGGAAATCGAAGCGAATGACTACGCGCTCAGCGGCAGGATAATGCTAACCGCCATCGTCGTTCTTTTCGTCGTCATCGTCATAATGCTTTGCCTCCACGTCTACGTCCGCTGCAGCCTTGTTCGCGCTCGCCGCCAGCAAAACATCCGCCGCAGAAGCAACCGCTCGCAGTTCGTGTTTTACATCGACCCCGCCGCCCGCATTGCCCTCACCTCACGCGGCCTCCACACCTCAGTCATCTCCACGCTCCCGGTCTTCACCTTCTCCGCTTCCACCCAACCGCTGGAATGCGCGGTTTGCTTGTCGGAGTTTGAGAACGGAGAAACGGGTCGGGTCTTACCCAAATGCAACCACAGTTTTCACACTGAGTGCATCGACATGTGGTTCCAGTCCCACACCACATGTCCGCTTTGCAGGGCGCCTGTTGAGGCCATACCCGAGGGAGAAACCCGGTCTGAGGTGACTTTTGTGTGTGAACCTGAACTTGTTCGGGAAGAAGTGGACCAGCCTAGACCGATAGGTTCTTCTTCGCTGAATAACGAAAGCTTGGGGCGTGAGACGGAGTCGTCGTTTTGTTCGCAGGTGAGTCGGATAGTGTCGTTTAAGAGAATTCTGAGTAGAGAAAAGAAGGGAAGCGTTTCGGGGTGTGTGGTGGAAGGTTGCAGCTCCATGACCGAGTTAGCCGCTCAACGGGGAGAGTGTGACTCAGTTAGTTGTTGACGAGGATAAGATCGGAGGTGACGTGGCGGTGATGGAATCTATATTGAAGAGAAATTTCAGAGTTTGCAGATGAGACATGACGTAACACTGGCAGTTCCGACGCGACGTATATTTACCATGTACACACCGAAGATGAAGACAAGCAGCAAATTATAGTCGAAGAAAAATAATAATAAAAAAATTATTTTTTATTTTTTAAAGTTATTATTATTGTCTTTTAATATAAATCAAGGAAATATAATTACTGTTTGTTTCATCTAAACATAACATTAATAATTTGATTGAATGTAATGAAACATACGGCAGAACGATAATTTTTTTGCGTACGAAAATTATAATTTTTTTATAATTATGAATTTTGGAATTTTAGGTGGACGAGGACTATTTCTAAAATTACTTATATACATTATTATTATTATTATTATTATTATTATCAATTTTAGGTCTTAAATGGATATTAGGTAAATTTTATTTCAAAAATTGTTTAAAAATTTATAAAACGTTTACAAATTTCCTTTTTTTGTTGCTTTATATGCTTTCATACTATTTTGTGTTCAGTTACGAAATTCGTCCAATTTCCCCTTGGAATGAATATTTAATTCGGTGTTAGTTTGTATTTGTGTATCTATTTTCCATTTTAGCGAACTAGTCCCTTCTTACTAAATTATAATTAAGTTATTCTAACATTTTATTATTAAGAATACGAAGGTTAATTTATTTAAATCCAAAAAAAAAACATATTTCATATTACAAAACTTGTTCAAATTAAATATCAACAGAATAAATTATTGATATAGTAAAAAAAATTACATATAGTAAATTCTAAATATTATTATAAGTTTTTTTGCATTCATACAATACGTAGAAAATATTTGATAGAAAAATAAGCTTGGGTTGGAATGTGCCATGTCATCATTGACATTCTTATAAAGAAAAATACGAAATTTAAAATTTTTATATCGGAAGAATACATTTTTGTTATTAATAGTCTAGAAAAAAAAACAATTACAAAATGAAATAGTTATTACACAAAATATCATTTATTATCTATTTCAATATCTAACCATTTTTTTCAAAGAATCCAACATCAATGTAAAGGCACCTTTACTATAATTTTAAAAAAATAAGTAATTAGGCCTTATAAACTACCTACAGTAACACATCAATATACTCGAAGTATAAAAACCAACCCAAAAAATAAAAAAACAAATTAAATATCGCACCAAAATGTTTATTCATAATAAAAATTTAAAACTTACAATTTTATAAGTGATTAAATACATTATTTCAAATTTAAATTGAGTTTTGACAACAGCTAAAATGGGTCCTCTCTTTTAAGATTAATATTTGTTAATTAAAAAAAATGAAATTTATCAATTTCTTAAATTTTGTATCGATTTTTTTTTACAAATTTAAAAAGTAGGAAATAATAAAAAATAAATATTGTAAATTAACACATTTACAAATAGAAAATTCTAAATTTCATTTTCCAACAGAAAATGTGTAATTTCCAATAATTTCAGGCTGTTTCTTCCTAATTCCTTACAAAACATTTCGTCCTTCAGTTTGGATTTGTTTTGTTATTGTGCGCTTTTTTATTTACAGTATTTTTTTCTCATGTTTTATTAGTATAACTTATTAATAGAATAATTAATTTAAAAATAATTTAATATGTTCCCCAAATTAATTTCATGTTGGTTCCTATAACTTCTGTCCGATATTATTGTTTTAAAATATTTTGGTTCCTACACACATTTAAATACAAATTTAATTATTTTATTTTCTAAAATGATTTTTTTTAATTGATATTAAAGTATTTAAAAAATAGGATGAAAAAATTCATAAAGTCTAATCGATAATAAATATGATAATACTACGTGTTGGTATTCTGATTCTGCTTCACCTCCCTAAAGTCATCAATCCATTGTCCGTTTAATTAATAAGAAAAAAATATTATGACACACTCGGGGATATTTTATAAATTTTGATGTTATATTATTTTAAATTATAATTTCGTCAATTTATATTATTAATTTTAAAAATATATATTGAATTTATGCTAAATAAATAATAATTTTATTATTAAATTTATTAACAAATTTAATTGAAAAAAATAAATTAATTTAAAAATAATTTATAATGGACCAACCCGTGACTAGATGAAACAAGCCAAAATTTAAAATCTATCGTAATTTTAACGCCTCCACCCGCATCCATTCCATTTGACGGATCAAAAGAATACAGATTGACCAGTTGAATTATTTTAAACTAAAAACAATACTATGTAAAATAATAATAAGTACATTTTAACGTATTGTGTTTTCAGGGTTTAGGGTTTTTCAGTGTTAATAATGATGATAGAATGAAATCCTAAACCTAGAGGAACGCGACGCAGCTATGCAAGTACAAAGTAAAGCGTGTGGGGAACATTATCATTGCGTGAGGTTGGGTTAAGTGTGACAGTGAGTGAATTGGAGTATGTCCAGTGTTTTCGAAACCTTAAACATGCTTCCACGTGGTTCCTCTTCTTCTTCCTACGTTGTATGATAAAGGCTAACTGGTCGCAGAAGTTCATATTGCCGACGATTGATAATTTCACAAAAATATATTTTAACAACTCAAATCCATTCAACTTTTAATAATAATATTTTTTATTTTTATTTTTATTAACTTTTTATCATTATTATATTAATAAAAAGGAATTATAAGAAGAATTGTTCTGATTGAAGAGTATAAAAATATCATTGCTGATATTTTTAATGTGTGGTGTGTTTGCTAGTTGTAAAGTTGTAACAGGAGAAAGCGTGTAGAGAAGCAGAAGAAGCAAAAGCAAATGAAGATATCTTCACTGCGTACAACTTGAGTTGAGACATTCAAATCACCAGCTAATCATACCTTGTTAACTTTCCTTTTGAAAGCAATATTTTTGGTTTTTTTTTTTTTTTTTCATTCAAAAAGTTTTGTCAGTTTTCGTTTTCAAAATAATAAGTAAAATTTAACTGATTTTGGTGCATTGCAATTTTTTCAGTTTTCATACCCATTTATTCTTATATTATTTTTATATTTTAATCTCTCACTTTTTTTATTATTATTATTTCGCACTAACAAGCGAGTGAGCAAACATTATCCCTGATTAAAACAATTTGTGTCATTTGATGGGGCCAATAATCCGCCATACCAAAAAGTTTGCTTGAGAATAAACGGGTGCAAAATTAAACCTTGATAAAGTTCCAACATCTTCTAAAGTGAATTGAAGAATCGGTCAAATTCAAAAAGTTTTTAAATTATTTGAAGAATTAAGTGAACCATACAAGCTTTTTTATTTATTTTATTTTCAAGTTAATTTTCCTATATGCTGCACACCAGTCAAATATCTTTCAAAGTAAAGTGAATAAAGTAAAACTTTCAACAAAAAAATATATAGAGAGAGAAAGAAAAGTCACATACCCTTTGAATCCAAGTTTTGTGGCAGACAAATCACGCTGTTAATGTTTTAATTAAACATTGTAATTCGAGTATATTCTATGAAAGATGCTTAATTAAAATATTAATTATTTTAAATATTTTTTTATCTAAGGAATAACTTTTTATTTAAGGAATTTTGTATGATATGATAAAGTATTATCTTTTTATAATTATTTTATTAAATAACTTTTAAAAAAATATATAAAAAATATGAAAAAAGTGTGTTAATTTTTTTTTAAATTTATATTAAAAAAATAATAAATTATTTAAAAATAATGTGACATAACAAATTTTATATATATTTTTTAAGATAAATAATAATTCATATAAATTATTCTTATTTTATGTAAAGTTCAAACTTATCATTTGTTGTAAATTATTTTAGCTTGCTTAATGACCTATTTTGTATTAAATATTCTAAATAGCATAATAAACTAATATGTAAATAAGAAAATGTTAAAATAGGTATAAATTAAAAAAGAAGTTACTCATGAAACAAAACTAAAAAAAATAAGTTTGTTGAGATTTATGGAGACAATCCTAATTTACTTATTTAATATACATTTATTTTCAAAGTCTACATATACTTTGAATGCTAGTTTGTTTTAAAGATTATTTTACATTGCAATTTTAATAAAATATATTAATATATAATTTAATAGAATGAATTATTCTAAATAAAAAATTAAATGTAATTTAATTTTAGCAAAAAAAAGTCTCAATAATACATGGATTGGAGATTATATGAGACACATTAAAGTTGTTGACATACAATTAATAAAATATTCCACCTATAACCTAAGTTTTTTCAACTAAAATCTCACGTATCAACAAGTAACATTGAAAGCAAATTGTAATTTTGGTATCATTATAACTCCCAAGGAACAAGTGTCAAGGTCTCAGACAACGACTTCAACCAGCTATAATTTCACATTTCAATAACCGTACTTAACAAACTTTATTCACACTAAACTCTTTCTTAGTCTTGTGTTTCCATCAGTGTAGGATTTTCTTTGCTCCCTTTAAATATTTCAATAAATCTTTATTTAATCAGTTCTAAATTAGAAAAATTAATACACACTACAATAATTCTGTTAAATATACATTAATCAAGAGAAAGTATTTTAGTCATTATATTAAATAAATTAAATATTATTTAAATTCAATTATTTTTTTAACTGGAATTTAAATTGGTGGCAATTTTTGAATTAAAATTTAAACTGGTCCTTAATTATAATTGACAAAATTTTAACTATAATTGAGAAATAAAATTAAAATAGACATTAATTTTAAATTAATGGTTAAAAAAATATTGACAGTTAAGATTAAAGATTATTTATATTCTAATTCAAAAAAAAATTATAGTTTCTAATATAATAATGAAATATTTTAAATTTAAATTAATAAATTTATTGTAATGAAAAGATTATCCTAGTCTATTATCGTTAACTCTTGTATTATGTTTGATAAGAATGTATATCGTTAACATATAAAGAGTAAAAGATAAATATTTATCTTGTGTACATTCAGAATTT